TACTACTACTACTCCTGCTACCACTACTGCTACCACTACTGCTACCACTACTACTACTACTACTACTACTACTACTACTACTCCTGTTGGTGCTACTCCTGCTCGAGGACGATGACGACTACTACTGCTACTACTACTACTACTACTACTACTACTACTACTCCTGCTGGTGCTACTGCTACACTACTACCAGAACTTCACTACTACTGGTGCTGCCATTGCGACCACCACTGCCACTACTGCCGGCGTTGTCCCGAGTATGCTGCCTGACCTCTGTTTCCCATACGACGACGGCTGTGACGACTGCCGTTGCTGCTACAACAATCCAAACAACACAGCACCGGGTCGGGATAACTAGCAAGAATACCCCTAGTCCCCCTTGTAAGCATATACAGTAGAAGCCCAAAGTTGGAAACCCGCTAGTCACTAGCCTCAATCCCTAAGAGTAATGTATAACGAATCCCAGCACTATTTATCCTTAATCCGGTTTCCAACTTATTGGGATTTACTATAGTATACCTGATAATGTGCCCCGGGACCCCATTCTCATGACGAAAGTCTCCATACTTTCTGTTCACAAGAAAGCTTGGCCCCCGAATTCGGCTCAGCCCGAGCCCCATGAGCCCCCGTGAACCCACGAACCCTTGGAGCCTTAAATATAGTTGCTAACAAAAGTCACCAATACGATTTTTGCGGCTCCTTCTTATAAGCATCGTATAACTTAGCTTGTCTAGTTGTTAAGGCCCATACATTGCGCTGGAACCAAAGACCGCAAGCTCTATCAAGGAAGACGAGTCCACAACCCATGACATCGACGAAGATCCATCAGAATCGGACGGCCCAGGCTTGCCCTTGCTTCAGGGGTGAGTCGACTTCCACAGAAGCCTTAGAGATCAAATGTGGCCGCCGTGCATAGATCCCCTGTCAGAACAACCCTAGTTGGGTTTTGGGATCTTGTCGCGCTTGCAGTAGCAGCCGGTTGCGAAGCTCGCATCCATTGAGGCCCACGCGTGTGTAATTGTAGGCTCGGAAACGGCAGGTCGTGCATCTCAATGGTAACCCAAGCTATCGTCCAGAAACTAAAACCTTAGTAGCTGAGGCGTAACCCGTAACCATTTGGGGTGCACTCGGCTAGGGTACTCAGCCCCTAAGAAACGTAAAAACCCAGAGAACCGAACTGTGCGAGGCTGGGAATGCCTTGGCGACTCGGCTGCTCCTCACAGCTACGACCGGAAGTTGAAACGTAAATGTAATCATAGATATGGGGGTTTCCGAAAATAGGGGGTACCTTATTTTGGGGTCCTTATAATTGGGATCCTACTATTTGGGGTACTATATTAGGGTCCCCTATTTTTGGGAACCCCCATATAGAACTAGTCCAGCCAACATTGCTGCTGATGGTTCAGGCCCCGTAGAACCCGCATAAGCCCTACGAAGTATTAGGACTTCATCAAGCCCTGTATACCTGCAGACGTGAAAGCTCATAAGGGCTGAAGGGGCGTTCTGGCATGTTGTGGCCCTGGAGCCCTCGGACAGTGCGGAGTGTACCTAGGTATGTACCTTGTTGAGGGTTCAGGGTGGTTTTGGGTGTAGGCCAATAGATTTATTGACAGAACGGCATAAAAGCGCAAGTGTGGGTACCTGTGGAACCAATGCCAGACATGAGCCAGTGCATCTCAGACAGAGATAGGGTCGCATCTTCAAGTCGGAGACCCTTCGTACAGGGCCCTGACTACTTAGTATCCTCTTGTAGCCCCAAAATTGCCAAAAGAGAAGCACGCGTCGGGTTCTTGCGGTAGTGTAGCTCTAGCGGTAGCTGGCAGGAACAGTGTGTCGTCGTAGTAGTAGGACTACTAGTACTCCTACTCCTTTTCCTGGTCCTTGTCCTGTTCCTGCTACTAATACTGCTAGTACTGCTGCTATTGCTTATGTTTCCACCACCACCACTATACCACTACCCCTACCGCCACCGGTCACCGCCACACCGCCGCGACCGGCGGCGGCGGCGACGAGTGCCTGTACTTAGCAGGTTCTGCAAGGCCTTGATAGGGCTTGTCATGGCATCTACATGTCGAAGATAAAGTAGAACACCAGCCGTTTTGTAATTTGCAGCGGGTCACCTGGCATTGCGAGCGGAAGGAAGCTTCGTTGCACAGCCGTCCATAGAAACCCAAAACCAAAGTCACAGCCCAAGCGAAGCCCCAAAATCAAGCAGCTTATAGGGTTTAGTCAGGTGAGGGCGAGGGGCACAGGCGGAAGAATGCCCTCCATGCCGACCGCTTCTACCTGAATCCGTTCCGTGCACGGAAGGTACCTCGGATGTTTCTGTATCTGTGTGTACTAGCACATATTGTATGGGTGCAGACAGAAGATGTGTACTACATGCGCATGGTCTATGTATGCACGTAAGCATGTGTATACATATATATATATATATGTATTTGTTTATGTGTATACATACACAATTCAAAAAACAGTCCTGTGGTGTGTGTGTGTGTATATATATACACATACATAGATCGATCGATGGATGGACGGATGGAGGGAGAGAGTGGGGTGGCAACTCCCCACCACAACCCTGGAGAAAGAAAGAGAGAGAGAGAGAGACAGACCTCCGTAATTAATTACATATTGCACGTTAAGCCTGTGTACGTATTTCGTTCGGCACACAGGCGCACATGCGCGCGCACGCACACACGCACGCACGCACACACACACACACACAGACACAAACCCACACAAGAACACAGGCACACACACACACAGACAAACCCAGACAAACGCAGACACACAAACACACAAACACACACAAACACACACAAACAAACAAACAAACAAGCAAGCAAGCAAGCAAGCAAGCAAGCAAGCAAGCAAGCAAGCAAGCAAGCAAGCAAGCAAACAAACAAACAAGCAAACAAACAAACAAACAGACAAACAAACAGACAGACA